CTCTCTCTCTCTCTCTCAGAGCAGAGCCCTGATGGAGGGGCCAGCTGACGTCACAGCGCCTGCATGGAGCAGGCCGGGATAATGATGTCTGAATGCTGCTGCTATATTTAATGTAGCCTATGCCGTAAACAAGTATTAAACGCAAACATTGGCTCATTGATTAATACAGCATCCTTCTTTGATTTGAGCTTTTTTTAATATGAGTTTTTTTTTAACGAGGTGTCAACACTCTGTGTAAATCGAAGCCGATAAATCAGGGGTCCAGGCAACCACACATATAAGGTCACTTTACCAGTTGGAGATAATCGGTTTAAGGCCGACCGCAAAAGTTCTTGCCAAACCCATCCCAGATTGCATCATGTTGGTCTCTAGCCCCCACGCGTCTTCAAATGGGATTGCGATTACCGCAATTGGCAATGTGACAGTCTGCAGCACAATTTACTGACAAAGAAACAAAAAAACATTTGAAGTGACGTGACATGTGGCCAAGTATGGTGACCCATATTCGGAATTAGTGCTCTGCATTTACCCCATCCAAAGTGCACGCACACAGCAGTGAACACACACACACCGTGAACACACACCCGGAGCAGATGTGCATTTGAGTTAAATTCCTGTGCCATTTTTAGCTAACTTTTGTCATTTGCACTTCTGTAACAGTGTTGACCTGACCACTGATTTTTGAACAAAACTAATAAAACTATCACAATCATGTATGATTGAATGGTACAAAACCTGGTGACTTTTGTAGCACGCTAATTTTGTAAACACTACAAATACACAAATGTTTTTCTAATATTTGTTATATGATATAGAAATAAACAGTGCATAATTTAGAGGTGACTATTGCCTAGTACCATGAAATCCACTAAAATACAAAACATTAAAAAACAAATAATATTCAAATAAAACAGTACTTTCATTTGTTTCAAAATATTCTTCTTGTCTCATTTGACTACAGAGAATGACAAGTGTGACGCCTAAATGAGGAATACTAGAGAGTTTGTTACGTACTTGAACGTGACTTTTGTGTTTATTGTTGACTTGAGTGACTTGGTGCATATGTGTTGGTGTTCTCTCTCTCTGTTCCTCTGTCCTTCTGCGCTCATTTGAGTCTAACAGGTGCAGCAGTTTAGTGGGCGGAGCCGAACTGGATCAGCGTGTGGATTTAAGCTGTCAGAAGCTTGCTCTTGGAGTTCCCTCGAGCTGTTGAACGTGTGTGCACGTGCTCCTCAGATATTGTGTGTTGTAGTAGGTTTGCGGTGTGCTCTGAGGCCTGGTTAACCTTGAGGAGTAAGTTGTTAGCGGCATGGGCAGGTAAATGTGTCAGTGGTGTACCTTTTAAATCAGATTGGTGTGTAGTGGGAGGCCCACTTTTTATTTTACTATTCGTTTTCTCCTGTTTATTGGCTAGGAGTGAGGTAATTTTATTTTGTACCAAATTAATACCAAATTAATTCAGTGTTACATAAACCAATTAAGTTGTATTTCTGTAGTCGGTTTTGCACTCAAGAATCATTGATACCTCCTATGTTGAACAATAATAACCTGACACAGTAACCTAAAAATTCAGCAAGCACATGCACATACGTTTTTAAGTGAAGATTTCTGTTTATTTCAAGCAACATGGTAAAACATCCTTTTATTGTCATGGAAAAAAAAATGAGCAATACAAAACTGCATACAAATGAACAATACAGAGGTGCATTGTATGAAACGGGCCTCTGTGACATCATCGTATCCAGTCACATTGCCAAGCAACCACTGAAGCATTTTTGGGCAGGGACGGCACTATGTGGGAAATGCCAGTCAACATGTGTTCCCTATTCTAAAGTGTTACCGGAAGGTTCAGTTCTGGCTTTACTGGCAGAGGCTTATAGTGAGCGTCAGGTTGCTTCCATCAATGAGAGGCAAAGAAGAGCCAGGCTGAGGTTTGCAGAAGAGCATAAGAACTGGAGTGAGCTCATCTTCTCTGATGAGTCCAGTTTTCATCTAAAGGTTAGACGGAGACCTGGAGAGGCCTATAAGCCACAGTGTCTCGCACCCACTGTGAAATTTGGTGGAGGATCGATGATCTAAGGGGTGCTTCAGCAAGGCTGGAATCATGCCCATTCGTCTTTGTGAGGGGCACATGAATCAAGCCACATAAGGCAAGTACAAGTATTCCACCAAATACTGATTTCTGAACTGTTCCTAATTTAAAACATTAGTGTGTTGTTTAAAAATTAGGTAAAACTTTATAATAACTTTCATTAATAAATTATCAACAAACATTCTTCAATGATTAACAGATCATTATTTAATAAATATTGACATAGCTAGAAATAAGAGAAAGTGCTTGTTAAGGTTTACTAATATATTTATTAAATATTACCCAATGATTAACAGATCATTATTTCTGGTAAATTTAAGTGCTTACAAATGTCATTAAACTTTCAATTCATAGGATCATGTACTTTTTAAAATCTTCAAATGATTTTGACAGTTTACAGGTACATCTCCATTAGAATATCATGAAAAAATGTCTATTTTTTGTCACTCATTTCAGAAAGTGAAACCTATGTATTATATAGATTCATTACACAGCGAAATATTTCAAGCCTTTATTTCTTGAAATTTTGATGATTATGGCTTACAGATAATGAAAACCCAAAATTCAGTGTCTCCGAAAATTAGAATATTACATAAGATCAATAAAAAAAAATTCCGGTTGTCCAGTGACTTGTTTGAATTATTTAAACATTATTTTATTTATTTGTAAGGCTGCTTTATGTTGACGTGTTTAATGCCTTTTAAATGGTGAGACTTTTTTGGTAATCAGGTTCTCAAATTATATAAATTTTTTTCAGATTTTTCGGCTAACATATATAAAGAATTATCGGCTACTGGTATCGGCCAAAATGTTAATATCGGTGCATCCCTATTTATGGGCACTGGACTTTTGGCTGCTGTAACAATGTTTGTGTAAAGAGTGGTAAGTTTAGCCAAATGCTTGCTAAAGTCATAACACATTGTAACACATTTGGGTGCAAAACATGTTTTATTGCCTCAACACTTATATTAATATACTACTGTATATCATTCAACAGAGTATTCCTTGAATCAGTGTACATGGTAATCAAATTGACCCCTGTACACTTCTGAACCCTTAACCAATCTTTAAGCATACCCATACCACCAGACCTGCCCCTAACCTTACCCGTATCACACCTCAATAGCAGCAAAAGTGTGGCACATTAACAAATAAGCTTTTAATCATTGTATAACATCTATTAAAATCATTTGAAGATTTTTAAAAAGTGCATGATCATATGAATTGAAAGTTTAATGACATTAAGCATTTTAAATTCAATTGAAATAATGATCTGTTAATTATTAGGTACCGTTTAATTAGTTTGTTTGAACATTAACTAATGATCTGTTACGCATACGTTTAAGAAATTTTTCATGAAAGTTATTATAAGTTGTTACCAAAAATGAATATGAACTTGTTTTCTTTGCATTGTGACATCTGAAAACACTGCATCTTTTTTGTTATTTTGACCACTTGTCATTTTCTGTAAATACATGCTCTAAATGATGTTTATTTGAAATTTGGGAGAAAATGTTGTCAGTAGTTTATAGAATAAGACAAATGTTCATTTTACTCAAACACATACCTATAAATAGTAAAACCAGAGAAACTGATAATTATGCAGTGGTATTTAAATTTTTTCCAGAGCTGTATATATTAATCAAAGTTATAATTATTTTCATGTGCATGTCTTATATACAGTGGGTATAGAAAATAATCACCCCCTTTAAAATAATCACATTTTGTTGCTTTGAAATGAAGACGGACACAGTTTTTGTTTTATCCAGCTATTTTCACTCAGTGCAACTTATAACATCCAAGTGAAAGATACAACACCAACATGTCAGGAAAAATAAAATAAAAAACAGAATCAGAGTTGGAAAAAGGATCATCCCCTCCTAAAAATGACTTGTAAACTTAATCAGGTGTAGCTAATCACATTCTCAATGGCACACAAAGCCATATGACTTTCAACTGTGATCAGCTGTGGTCATTTTGATCAGCTCAGCATGAAAAGAGCTTTCCTGGAGCATCTCAGTCCTTGGTAGGCAACTGAAGCAAACAATCAGCTATGGGTGGCAAGTAACCGTTAAAAGATCTCCAGGATAAACTTGTGGACAGGCAAAAGTCAGGAGATGGATACAAAAAATATCAAAGGCTTTATCAATGCCTAGAAGCAGAATGACGTCTATTATTAAGAAGTGGAAGGTATTTAACACAAACCCTCCCTGGATCAGGACGTCTAACTCACTACAAACTGGTGAGCTAGGCCATCAAGAGGCCAACAGCAACTCTGAAGCAGCTGCACCAATTTATGACAAAGAGTGGTCATTGTGTGCATGCGACAACAATAAATCACACATTCTCACAAATGTGGCTTGTATGGGAGGATTGCAAGAAAAAAAGCCCCTCCTCAAGAAAGGCCACATGCAGTCAGACTGAGCTTTGCCAAAACACACCTTGAAGATTCTGAGGCAGATGGTACTAAAATTTAATTACTTGGCCTCAACACCAAACGATATGTCTGGCGGAAATTCAATACAGCTCACCATCCAAATAACAGCATTCCTCCAGTAAAGCATGGAGGCGGTAATATCCTGTTCTGGGTGTTTCTCTGCAGCAGGGACTGAAGCACTTGTCAGGATAGAAGGACAAATGGATGGGGCAAAATACTGTCAAATTCTTGAGGAAAATCTGCTGCCCTCTGCCAGAAAGCCGTCAATGGGAAGAAAGTTTACCTTCCAACAAGACAATGACCCAAAGCACACAGTGGTTGGAGGAAAAAGGTGCACAAACGCTCACCATCAAATTTAACTGAGCTTGAGCAGTTCTGCAAAGAAGAGTGGG